TTTTTCTCTTAATGACCTCATTATCTTGAAACAAGCCAACCATATGGCTGTCAGCAACGATCGTGGTAGGTTTCTTAAGAGTAGCTCAATTATCTCTTTGCCTTACAATTCAAAATATGGAAGTCATTTTTTAGAAGCACGGGAAAGCCCTCTTAACAAGTTCCCACTTAGTTGTTTTTCTGTTAATTGTATACTGGGGGGCTTGCTCTGTATGCCCGTACATATGGAGGTCTCGTACCTGGGCACCCCTCTTCCCACCCCCCCCCCCCCGGCTCCCTGCCGCCTTGTGCGTGTGGGGTGGCAGGAGAGGACATGATCGCTTCCGCAGATAGCATGGGCTTTTTAAAAGGAGCAGAGCTGCTCAGGCCAGTGTCTCTTTTTTCCTGCTTAGAACTCTTGACTGCCAGCCATTTTTGCTGTGCTCACCCTTGGGGCTCCCATCTATGGATTCCTCTTGGTCCCTCTCTTTGTCCGGTTTTAGCTCATGCTGGTCCCTGTGCCACCAGTGCCCTTCCCCTTTGTCTAACGCTGACCTGTCCCTCATATCCCAGAGGCAAGGGCTCCTGTTCTGGAAGGCCCTCCCACTCTTCCTCCCTCAGGGAGGGAGGGTCCCGCCTCCCCTGTGGGAGAGACTGCCACTCTCTCTCCTAAAGCCCATCACACTTTGCTGCCAATCCTTCCTCGATGGAAGAAGAACAGACACTTGCCCTAAAGCAGCGAAAGCGTTTCTAGTTCACTGTGGAAGCCCCGGTCCTCCAGCAGTGAACAGGACATAGAGGGTGCCCGGCAAAACACGTGTTTGGCTGAACAAAATGGAATGGAAGGTGGAGAAGTCAGCACGAGCCGGGCCCTCTCCTCAAGGTATCTCGGGAGACACTGCGAGCCTGCTTGGGAACTCAGCCATCGGCTCAGAAAGAGGCTTCGACGGCAATGCCTCTTGAGTGCCAATTGGCAACACTGTACAGGTGTCTTTCAGCAGCGGCAGAACGATGTGCTCGCTTCGGCAGCACATATGCTAAAACCAGAGGCGGCAGAACGCTCTCACAAACCACTTCGAGGAGAAACTACAAAGGTAGTTTGTATTGCCCTAGGGCCGAGCGGTTGCTGGAGACATAGGAACGCGCCATTTCTAATATACAAATAGACACACAACCTGGATGGAAAAAAAATCACAAGTTATGCAGGGATTCCAGATGAGAATTAATAGGAAAGTACGAGGCAAAAAAGATTATTGGCATATACCACAGGAAAGATTACTTATAACAATCTCCTCCGTAAGGAAAACAGGAGTACGTGTTTCAGTCTTGCTCAAGTATAAATTGCTATACTTTATTAAGAATGATCGGGGCGCCTGGGTGGCGCAGTCAGTTAAGCGTCCGACTTC